AAAAAAAAAAAAAAAAAAAATGGTAGAAGGCTAAGGATGATGCTTAACTTTTAGTCACCGTGACTGTCAGATGTTAGTATTTCAACTTCTCCAATTCCATAACTTGGCATTCCAAATATTTATTGGTGTTTAATACTAACCATGATAACGGCGAATACAACGCCGAGGGAGTACCCAGCGAGCACGTCACTCCAGTGGTGTTTGAAGTCAGTGACCCTCGAGAGAGCGGTGAACCAGCTCAGCATCACGACTCCAAACTGAAGGACGTGGCGGAGTGTCCTCGTACCCTGCCATGTCATCCGACCTTCTAGGTACATCTGGAAAGAGATGGAGATACATTAGATGGAGTTTTTTAGAAGACGGGAATAGTCTTTATTACTGTGTAAGAATATATTGATATTGGGGTTTGTTGTAGTGTCCGGTTATCACCGATCTAAGATACAGATGCATTATGACAGTGACATTATGTATGTGTATAATGTACATATATTATATAATGGATGTGGTTAGGCTATACTAATCAGTGATCCTCGTCAAATAATTACGTGAGTAAGCCGAAAACATAATAATTTATGAAATATTATTTATCTATAATGAAGCCCAATACTCACAGCTAAATAAACCATGGTGTAAGCTGCCCATGCAGAATGTCCGCTTAAAAAACTCTTGCGCATATCCTCGTACTTATCAGTCTGTGGTCCCGTACACGTGTAGTCTGAGGACTGGATGTACCGGTCCTGCCATTCGAAGGAACTGCAGTTTATTGACGGTTGACAGATCTGGAATAAATAAAGAGAATAAATTAACAAAAACGCTTTATAAGAATGTTTGCTCTAAAGTTGGTTACAAATCAAATAATTTTCAAGAGACATACATAAATAATAAATAACTAGGGCCAAAATAAATAAAAACTAAAGTAACATAAGAAATGTAGAAAAATAAGATATAGGGCATAAAAAGAAAAAAAAAACTATTTTTTTTTATAAGTAAATAAAGTTAGGAATCTTTTGAAATGTTGACCAATTGAGGTAACATAATGCCCATCATAATCTTATGCTTGATATACAACCGTTTATAAAATCATGAACAGTTTTTTTTTAATTCAGGAATATCAAAAATTGTCCTAACTCGATATTCGACCCATAATCTTGTGCAGTCACATCATCGCTACGCAAATCGTAACTAAAATGAATGATGTAATTACTATAAAATACGTAATGTATTAGATAAACCTTAATGATAATTAATCAAACCTAAACGTAGTAAATAAAGATTTACGATAACATAAATAAGGAAATTAGTATGTACGTCATTTTATGTCAATACATAATATAATAATAAGGAAATAAGTCCATATTACGTATTTTATTCCCATTTTATTACATTAGTGCATGTAATAAATGTAACAGTTATTTTTCACCAGTTATGTATACAAATAAGTATAATTTGATACGGATGAGTGTATTTTATCAAATATTTTTAAATATTAAACTACAAATCTATATCATAAACCAAATATTGGGCTGGACCCAGAATAGAACCTTGAAGAACACCCAATTTTTAACTGACTTTTGCTACATGAATATAAATATGTGCTTAAATTATTATTATAAGCTAAAAACTCAAATGGACCCAAAATTGAACCTTGAGGAACGCCCATTATTACCGCCTTAGATTGTGCTAGTTACACAAGTAATGCAGGAAACATTTTTATTGTATTGATAAGGACACTGTTGCTTCACTAAAACGTCTCAGTTATCTAACATTACATACTAAAAGTACTTAATAATTAATCTTCTAATTATTATAGTAGTAGTAAATGATACAGTTGGTTCCATATACTAATATCTGGCACTTCAATTAATGACACCTTGAAAGTAAGTACCTACTTTATATGTATTGAACACACCTAATAGTCTAGAAAGACTTGACGCAAGGTCAATGCATAAACTACATTCTGAAAAAATACTTCAAAAATAGTGAAAAAAAAAACTATTCATCATCAAAGTGAACACATAATAATAAGTTATTAATTATTCTACTGGATTTGAAAGTGGTATTACGGCTATGCGCCTTAATTGAAAGAATATTGGAATTGCGCAGGAGTCCTAAACTTTCAGCTGGTTTCATAATTTCTGAGTATTATGTGTAACTGCTATTTAAATCCTTTGAAACTGAAAACCATTGAGGAAATCCAGGAAAAAACAAAATATGCAATCAAACTTACATCAAAGAAATGAGGTCTAGGTCTGCCAATGACATTTTTGGAGATGTTGACAGCGATCTCGACGAAGCAGGTACCGATGGCGAAGCAGACGAGGGTGCTGTAGAAGCCACGCACCCAGGCAGGGATACGCACGCCTAGACACCGCTCACAGTCGCGCACGTTGCGTAAAAGTGTCCACTCGCATATTAGGAACTGAGGACAAAAAATTATAAGTATAAAGTAAAAGCATCATTTTCAGTAATTTGGGCACCTGATGATAATTAAACAATGATAGGTAGCGCTTAAGATCTTCAGACAAGAAACCAATAAGCAAACATGACCTTCAGTGATGAAGAAATGACGAAATAGAAGGCATTTTTAAAACTTTAAAATGAGATCAACCGTCAGTGCGAGCACTTCCAAATCGTAGATCTTATGGAGATCGCTAATCGCTATACCATTTTACTAATTGAATTAAATTTAATACTAACAATGTAATGGAAATCGCTGCTACCATGTAAAATGCAATCACCCGTTCAATAATTGAAAAACGTTTAACTTTATAAAGTCATAACTTATCAATTATTACCTCTAAGAACCGACACATCTTATCAAATATCTAACTTCGCTTCAATAAACTTGCAATTACGGTAACCAATCAAGCGAACCAGTTACTAAATACAGGTTAAAAATAAACAATTGGGTATCTAATAGCCAACTAGTCAAATTCAATACTTTTTTTGAACTGTCAAAAAAGACACTTTTCTATATATTTTGTACGAGATTGTGTATTGTGACGTCACGTTTTTTTTAGCGTCAAACAGCATGCTTATTTCTTCTTAAAAATTTACTTGAAAAATACTAAAATGTATTTGGTCATAAAATCAATTAATGGAAGTTTGATTACTTTTTAATATTTTATTGTATTGAACAGATTTTTTTTTTTTTTTGATTACGAAAAGTAGCCAATTACACTTCGACCGACCTATTAGTACTACTATAATTCTACTGATGTCAAATGACCACATTGTCATAGATAAAAAAATAATTACAAAAGACGATCATATTTCTTTCCATTATTGAATCTACTTGTAATGGAAAATGTCGACAACGCCATTCATTTTAGGCTAACAATAGGTAATTATGAGTGCACTTTTGATTACAGGTTGGCTCAACGCACGTGTTAAGGTGCGAAGCGAACGTATGTATTGTGACGTCAGCGTATAGATTGATCATCGGTGATTGAAATGACGTGTAGCAAGTGAAGAAAATCTGGCAGTTTTATTACCTGACATACAATTGAATGGATATTTTCTATATTTATTTGTACGTTTAACGTTTGTTTACCTTTTTTATTATTTTGAAGTGGATTTCATTAGGTTTTTGTTCGGTAGTTTTCATCGATTATAGAACGGATCGAGGAATTTTAAACCACAAAATTTATAGTTTAAATATTATTTTTCAGTAACAATGCTACGTGTCTAATATTTCTATCGGAATTAAATATTAAATAGAAGGCATAATTAAGTATAGTAAATGTACACATTCATGTAATTAAGAATAAAAGAGTCAGGTTGATTGAAATTAGACTTTAGTTACATTTCATTGTAGGTTCTTAATGCAATGATTATCCAATTGAAACCTTGGTATTGGGGTGATTGAAATTGGACTTTAGTACTGTTTCATTGTAGGTTCATAATGCAATGATTAACCAATTGAAACCTTGGTATTTTCCATGAGTTAAACCATCAATAGTGTGTATTATCGTGCTGTACGGCCGGTAATGGAATAAGTGCAGTCCACAGCCGGCCACTGCATTCAATACTAGCGGAAGACACACAGACGTAGAATTGAGACAATTACTGGATGTGCCACTATGATAATACGGATGTACAGAGAAAACAGCTGACTAGATATAAGTAGGTAGTTTTTGAAAGAAAAAATTACGAAATGTGATTTGGTTTAAAGTGAATCATATAAAGTTAAAGTTAATGCAATCTATATGTATATAAAAGGAAGTCGTGTTAGTTACACCACTTATAATTCAAGAACGGCAGAATAGATTTGGCTGAAAATTGGTAGGGAGGTAGATTAGAGCCAGGAGACCGACATAGGATACTTTTTTTTACTTTTTACCGAAAACCACGATCGGGGACGGGAAAAAATGGGATTACGCGTACGAAGTCGCGGGCAGAAGCTAGTAAAAGATAAGTTTAAAATCATTACTTAAATTAAAAAATAAATGGAAGATTAAGGTAAAGGCATCAATACAATCACTTTGATGCAAATGATCTATAGAAAATAGTATGGTGTTATAGTGTAAATGGATTACTTTTTTTTAACGTTGCTTTTTTTAAAAACATGAGAAAATCCTAGTGTAGACTAGTGTTTTCTCTTGTGTGTCGTGGGTGCGTTTACAAATATACAAGTTCACATACACATGACACCCAGACCCGGAACAATAATCTGTGGATCACACAAAGAGTTGTTCTGTGCGGGAATCAAACCCGCGACACGATGCGCGGCAGCTCAGCCACAGCGCCAACCGTGCGTAATTGATAAGATGTGCAAAATTATTACTAGTATATGCCACCCGACGTAATATTTCTTAGTCATTTCTTTTTCATTGGAATTATTTTATCACAACAAAGTAAGTACAAGATAATCTCTTATCTCATATATTTTTATAGTAAATCTATTGCCTCGACAGACGTAATTATCTACAGATATGCATTTTTATGTGTTATCCGATTTCATATTCGTAGTGCTCCAGGAAAATATGTAAAAAAGTATTTATTTCCGAGATATAAATTAGTTCCATCATTAGGACGAAAACATGAGGGTAGCCTACAGGCTTGTCGTGGAGAACCTAACGGGTAACCGGGGCTCCGGCTCGACATGCAGGAGAAGGAACGGGGTGGTTTTTAGTCAGTAAGAGACTGACACTCCCTTCCGCCTCGCCCAGGCGGGAGCAGTCATTCAATGACTTTACGCCATTAAAAAAAGCCTACAGGCTTTAGCCAGGCGAGACTATCTAACTACTGAACTAAATGGAGACTAGCTGATTCATGTGGCGGGCTAAGAAGAATACGAAGAAAAGAAAAATGAATTAAACAAGTAAACACGAAGTATATAAAACTCTGAACATTATAGACTACCTAGACCAAGGAGGAGGCGGGACGCGTGAGGCAGCGAAGCGCTGCCTCCTCGCAACCCAGCCATCGCGAAGGACACATGGGCGTCGGGGATCGCGGGACGATCTCCGGCCACCGTAAGCGCGGGCCTGCGGACGGCGAGCATGGGTGGCTCCCCGTCCGACCAGAAACAGACCCGAGCGTACGGCGCGTCGCGTTCCGCGCGCGCCTCAAAGAGCCATCAAACCACCACAGATGGGGCCCAATAGGGCTGATGCCGATTCGGAGTCGCGGAGAACCTAACGGGTAACCGGGGCTCCGGCTCGACGTGCAGGAGAAGGAACGGGGTGGTTTTTAGTCAGTAAGAGTCTGACACTCCCTCCCGCCTCACCCAGGCGGGAGCAGTAAATCGATGATTTTCCCCCCTTAAAAAAAAAAAAGACGAGAACCTAACGGGTAACCGGTGCTCCGACTCGACGTGCAGGAGAAGGAACGGGGTGGTTTTTAGTCAATAAGAGTCTGATACTCCCTCCCGCCTCACCCAGGCAGGAGCAGTCATTCGATGATTTCCCCCATTAAAAAAAAAAGACCTTATAGAGAAGAGAACAGAACAGATAGACGAACAGGTCTAGGAAACGAAACTGCAGAAAAGTATGCAGGTCAACTTGTAACTTCACAACACTATTATTTACAATTAGTTAAGAATGTAATTAGTAATAGTAGTAGTAATTAATAGCAACGTGATATTTTATCACTGTTGCGGTCACATGAAGTAGTTCGTGGTCTATATCATCGCATGCGCATTGATCTAAAACTAGTCGCTACTAGTTTTGGAAATTTGGTCAAATTACGAACATTAAATCATGATCGTAATCAAGTTTCTGTTGATTACATTTTGATTTCACCCCATCAAAATAAAAAAAATGGGCTCTCCTTTGTAAGAGCGGACAACTGGGTTAAACCCAATTCTACGGTCCCGTATTGGACCTATGAATGGAGATATGCCAATAGGATAGATGCCTAATTTTTATTTTAACGTCCGTCCGGTAGATCATTTTAAATCATTAGACAATAGACATATATTTTTTATTTTCTTACAGAAACGAATACTTTCGACGATGTATTGATTTGAAATGTCGCGTGACGTCACTTCTATGTATGTACATTTTATACGTAGAAATGACGTTTTAGCCCCCACTCCTAAACTTTGATTCGTTTTATCTAAGTATTGTTTTATTATATGACAAAATAAAAAAATACGTGTCTAATATTTTTCCATTACCTAACTTACGGAATAATTAGATTTTTATTTTTCAAATACCCTGTCATCATCCCAATTACGGCCAGTCGGCTAGTAATAGATTTTGTTGCGGGTTTATTTAAAAATTCTATCAAACAAATAAATAGGTAGGTTTTTAAGATTGACATGGTATTTGTGTCCAATAACAGAGTTCTTTATATTTTTATCTCCTCTCGTAGTTTATACGACTATTACATCATCCAACCCTTTTTGGAAAAACTAGTTATTAAATAAACGCCTCATTTGATTAAAATTTAAATATTTTGTACAAGAATCGAAGGTTGAATACTTGTCTTGATAAATGGCTAAAAATCTAGAGAATGTGCCTGTTTAAATAATTCACAATTTTGTTTAAAAATAACGGAGCGGATGTTTTTTTAAATCGTCACATTACTGGTTCGATACTATAATATTTATACTAATATTATAAGAGAAGGCTCTTACGTTTGTTACTTAATCACATAATCTACAGATCTGGATGAAACTTATTAACACTAGCTTGTGACAGCGGCTTCGCACGCGTCTGCTTACAAATTTTCCTTTTGAAACACAATCGAAATCCGATGCGTAGTTTTAAAGAACTAAGACCATAGAGACCGACAGAGAAAATCAGCTTATGTTAAAATACTCGAACACTAATCAAGTCGCGCTTAAGTATAGTTCTGTCCCTGTAAATTCTTTGTAAAATGACAGAGATGGCACGATATTTAAATATTACAACTTAAAATTGAGTAGCCTTTCAGTATTCGGGCATTAATATCAAAATATATATATAGTATCCCCGAAGGGATAGGCAGAAGTGCACATTATGCCACTGTACAATGTAACACCCACTTTTCACTATTTATGTTTTGAGTCCCATGTAATATGGGGTGAGCCTATTGCTATATACCGGGCACAATTCCAGACGCCGTGCCACTACTTAGAATATTTAAAAAATATTATACGATACTATGTTGTAAATAAATAGGTACTCACCGTTGATATAGGTAGCAGGAGGCCAACTAGCCTCAACATGAGTACTGTGACAGTGTCTCCCTTGTAGGGGTACATCAGGCTCTGGTCTCCACAGAAAAACCCTCTTTGGAAAGGCTGCCAGAGGAGATTTGTTGCTCCTATACATAGTCCCACTGAAACAAATAGAATTAAATATTGTAAAGACGTTTGTTATGGTCGCCCGGAGGTTTAAGTACCAGTTGTGGGTTGAACTTGAAACCAACCCACGGCAAGTACCAATGTGACTTTTTTCTAGACACCAGTGATCAATTGTCTAGACACCACTGACAAATGGTGAAGAAAAACATCATAAAAACCTAGGCTTATACTAATTGTAAGTTTGAAATCGTCAACCCGCATTGAGTAAGCGTGGTTAATGCTCAAACCTTCTCCGTACGAGAAGAGGCATTTGGTCAGCAGTGGCTACTTATAGGCTGTCATTAATAAATAGATATAAGGACATGGACGAAATCATAAAATAATACATACCTACTTTTATTCTTCGAATGTCTAAAGACAAGAACATTCTCCACACTTAATTGTCCCCAGTTATAATTATGAGTTCCATTAAATCGTTAATTTCATAATGAAGATATCGACCTTCATTATGAATTTACGAACAACTTATTGTAATGAAGGCGTAAAAATGTACAAAGTAACTGATACATATTGCATTTAATAGGTTGCAAACTCATACCATTCACAGATCGCAGATACAATTTATTATTAGCCTACTAAACTTAGGGGACATGTAAACTACGTTTGAAAAAGGATGCTATTATTCAGCAATAGATGTATTTGGCTGATGTTGAAAGTAATATGCTATGTCAGAAATCGAAAACAGTGTTTTCTTCTATCCATTTTACCGGAGGCCCAATCTTCCCAATGCCTGAATCCCAACGATCTTCAAATTCCTAATTCCCAAAAGACTGGTAACGCACTTGTAACGCCTCTGGTGTTCCAGGTGTCTATGGGCGATGTAGATTGTTTACCATCAGATAATCCGTGTGCCAGTTTACCGGCTTACTCCATAAAAAAAATAAACAAATGATGCGACAAAAAGATATACAAGATCTTTTTAAGGTGACGTAAACTAAAGAATAAAAAACTTCGCGAATATATAATGTCAAATATATAAAAAACACGATTTGCGGAATGTATGTATGGACTATACATATTTAAGGTCTCATACGAGTTTTGTAGCAAACAAAAACGAGTTTCTAAGATAGGTGGCCAAGCCTCCATTTTTTGTTTTAAACACACAAGGAAAATAATCTTAAAATATTGTCATCAATAAATCGACAATTGATAAGGTAAAGTTAAGAAGTTTAGTATGTGCGAGACATAATAATTATAACATTGGTATTGAACACACGTTGAAGGATAGAAAAGAAAAGGATGACCAAAGAAAATATGATAAAGATTGTGTGAACTATATCTTATAAAAGAGAAACAATGTATCATACAGAATGATATCTGAGACTAGAAGAAAGGTGTTATAAGTCGACTCCAAGTAGCTTGGAATAAGAAAAATAGCTGTAATGTAGGAAGCCAACCATACTACATCAACAGAAAATGGTCGATAGAATGAAGACCTAAAGGGGTTAGATCAAGGGGTCATTCTCGAAAAACCTTACCCGTTTGACAGCTTGATTAATAAGGCAGACAAAGGGTTGAAAATCAAAATGGTCCTTTAGAATTCCATCCACGTTTAAATAAAGCACAAACATTTACTAATATAATAGCGTTCATAACGATATGTTATTTAAAGTCACGGTAGTTGAGTGAGAAAATTACTGTAATCACGGTGACCAGAAACCATTAACAACTGTTTACAATCGCTCGGTTGGCATCTAAACGAGTTAAAAAATATATTATCGGAAATAGACGTTTGTCACTCGACAATAATGTTGTGTTAGTACATTACCACACCTGTTTTTTTTTAATATTTTTAGGCTAAGGTAATTAGGTACACAGAAAAGTAAGATAATTTGGTACACATATTAGTTAGAAGTTAGAAGTAACTGTTAGAAAGAGCCGCACAAAATTAGTTTTTTCTTGCTATTCAAATCCAATTCAGCTATTAAAAGTGATAGCTACTACAAAAGAAATGTTACAAGAGTAAGTTGTATATTATTATATCTCATATTTAAATTTAAAAAAGTATACACTTACAGCCAATAAGAAGGAAACAGTCTAGGACTAGTTTCCTTAGAATATTTATAGACACTTCGTTCTTAGCCATGACGTCTCCTTTTCTGTCCAACTTCGATTGTTTTATACTTCGTCTTGATCTCTTCAAAACTATCCGGGTATAATTTACTATCCGAATTTAATTCGCGGATTTTTTATTTTTTTTTTATCGCGTATGAGCACGCGCTTTCCTCGTGCGCTGTCAGAGCGTTAGTACGGTTCAGCAGCGATACTACGTCTACACTGGTGTATTTGACCGGCCGATACGCCTTAAATACGACTTCATTATCGACTTCTGCGCCGATAGCGTTGCAAGATAAATGTAATTGTGTAAAAATAGATATTAGGGAAGTTACTGTTTAGGGAAGGGCCTTAGATTGGGTTAGGAAGGACCTTAGGGATGTTTGGATAAGCGCTTTTTGTGTCTCAGATGTCTTTAATGAATTATTGTCTTTCTGGATATAAAATTCTAGGTATTGAATAAGAATTTGCATTCAGTTTGTGGCATCAGTTCTTGTGGGCTTTGGCTCTAATTTATTCATTACATATTATTAAAACGCGTACATTAAAAAAAGAACTACTTTTATATTATTTTTAGACCTCTGTTTAAATGGCTTCCTAGTACTCAGCTTCATTCAAAAAGGGTTTTTTTTTCTTTTTTTATAGGTACTTTTTTATCCTCGTCATATTTGGCGTCCTCAGCTGAACATTACCCTCTATTAATGATCCCTCGATCGTCTCTCAATGCTACTACACTACTTATAATTAATTCAATTATTCTTACTGACATTGTTTTTCTTCTTCAAGTTTTCCTTGTAATACTTTGTCTTTGTAGCTGCAAACTCTTCATCTAATATTCAAAATGGATTTGCCCTACAAACGCCTTTGGATTATTCTACTTTATTTTTAAGAATAATGTAATGTAATATTTTGTCATTTTTTATGGGGTAAGCCGGTAAACGAGCAGACGGATTACCTGATGGTAAGGCGTCGCCTGAAACACCAGAGGTGCTAAAAGTGCGTTACCGTCCTTTTGGGGATTAGGAATTAGAGGGGGGGAATTGGGCCTCCGATCTTGCTTCGGCACAAAACGGCGATCTCGATTGGAGTGATACCATGACCTCACAGAAATCTGGAGTGAAACTCGCCTGCATTATGTTTCGCCGCGTGACTGAGGTTAACAGAGACTCAATAATCTTCCCCCAAAAGACCGGCAATGCACTTGGAGCTTTTCTGGTGCTGCGGGTCACTGCGGATGTTCATCGGTTTTGGTTGGCGTAGGTCATCGGTGACCTACGGTGAACGGGACGGAGGAGGCGCGGGTATGCCCGCCTCCTTCCTCCTCCCTAGTAGCTAGTGGGGCAGGAGGCGGCTGGTCGGAGCAACCGGTCGCCCACGTCGCAGTGCCCCGAGAGGGGGCGGCATCTGCAGGGTGCGCGGGCGCCGCCCGCAGGAGAAGTACAGTTCTTGTGGCCCGCCCTCATGCGTGAGTGGCACACCCTGGAGTTTTTAGTGGGTTCGAGCCCCACACAACCCGACCTCGGCCCCGCGAGGCCGGGTATGCACTGTATTTTCCCCGGCTGAAAAAAAAAGGTCATCGGTGACCTACGTTAGCGAAGGATTTGGCTTCAACAGTTTTCTGTTGGCAGTCAAAGAATTAAAATGGACAGGGGGTTTGTCATTACAATAGTTGCAAATTCGTATTACGTTGATTTCATAATTGGAGACTTTGACAAAATTTGTTGTTTTATTTTGGCATCTCTACCAACCCCACGGAAATATAACCATCCTGTTACGTTTTGTATTTACTTATGTCCAAGTTTATCACAAACAAGATGCTGTGAAAACATCTGGATAAACATTGAGATAGTGCTGAACTTCCTACGTCATTTACTTAGGCACTATTTACTATATCAAGTCAGATAACAAATATACAAAATAAAATAACGTAATGTATTTTAATTATTGTTTTACTTGGATAAGTATATAACAATAATGTAAATCGTAAGTCGACTGTTATTTTTGCGGATGTTTATCCTTAAATATGAATAAAAATGGATCACCGAAATGTACGCGCAGCTTTCAAATGAGTGCACCGATAATTTCTTTACATTTCGTAACTTTTGGGACAAGGAGTGAGAAAAAAAAAGAGCCGAAAATATAAAAAATATACCGGGAAAGTCAGTGAATTGCGTTGCATTGAGGTGGGACGGGCTGTAAAAAGAATCTATCTATATACCTCTAAATAAAAATGATTTTCTGTTCGTTAGTCTCGCTAAAACTCGAGAACGGCTGAACTGATTTGGCTAATTTTGGTCTTGATAGGTTCGTGGAAGTTTAGGGAAGGTTTAAAAGGTGAGAAAAAACTTTTAGGCGGTACGAAGTTTGCCGGGTCAGCTAGTATAATATAATACTTGCCTGGCTGTTGTTACCCCGGGATTTGTTCTGCGTGGAAATTCTGTCTTATAAATATTGTATTGACTGCCTCATTGGCCGAGTGGTCGTAAATTCGACTGCTAGGCAAGTGGTCTCGGGTTCGATTCCCGGGTTGGGCAAAGTATTACTTGGTTTTTACAACAAAACAACTAGTTAGCACGGAGTCTGAAATTGTGCCCGGTAAGATAGGCTCACCCCTATTACATGGGATTCATAACATAAATAGTGAAAAGTGGGTGTTACATTGTACAGTGGCATTAAGTGCCGTAAGGTGCACCTCTGTCTACCCCTTCGGGGATAATAGGCGTGATGTTATGTTATGAATATTGTATTATTTATCTATATTAATTAATAGTAGATTGTGCTTTGATATTGAAATCATTCTTTGTATCGATTCAATTTTTGTAATTCACACAGTGTAGGTAAGTAGTAGGCAGAAAATAAGTGTGCTTATTTTTCATCAGTTTTTTATAATACCTACCTCATTTAAATGTTAGTTAAATAATTTATTTATTTTAAGAAATAGGTGCCTAAAAGAGGACTGCAATTCTGTATTTGGGGATACGAAGAATAAACTCTTTACATAGTAATTAACCTGGATAAATTTACATAGAGATAATATGTATATTATTAATTTATAATTTGTGCAAATAAAATAAAGTTGCGTAATATGTAGTTGCACTTACAATTTTTATTGCAGCAATGTCTATAGGGGAAAAAACGCGATGAAGTAGTTGTATTTACAATTTTCTTGTTTGTAGAGTTGCAATCATTTTTCTCGTAACTTGTAATGAAGTTCTTAATCTTTTATTTATCCTTTAAATCTCTTGGTAGACAGATATGCATCAAAGTATAGCTATGTTTTATGTAGATTATGCAATTTTACCATTTATATTATGAGTCCTAAAAAAATCTTCCTTTTAGAACTTAGTTATACTTTCTTTTATTAACTTATGTGAAGCAAGAAATGAAGAGGTTTTTTTTTATATTTTTATTTTGTTTATTTATTCATTTATTATTATGAGTCCTAAGTATATGTACATATAATAGGAGCTACATACAATACTAGACATTGTGCTATAGATTTATTATCAAATATTCGAACTACGTTTAAAAATACCGACTCCATCCTTTACGAACCGACTTGGTTTGAAGTCGGCTACTTCTAAGTGTAACGAACAAGTATACATACATACATGTCAAACCCAGAACCTCCTTCTGTTTTTAAGTCGGTTAAAAACTGAAAACACCCCATAGCCATCATACTTTGCCCAATCCAGTTTATCGATCCTGAGTCCCGATTGATCTTATTATTTATTTATTTATTTAACACTTTATGTACAACTGTATACAACGGCGGACTTAATGCCGAATGGCATTCTCTACCAGCCAACCATAGGGTGATGCAGAGAAGTGTTACAGTAGGTTTTAAAAGAATAAAAACGAGGGTGATAAATGTACGTACATATGTATAAAGGTATCCTAGTACAAAAACTACATACCAATACTACATACTAATATGAAACATAAATATATTATTATCTCCGTTTAAAAAAAATCAAATGATTACAATTTGCTAACTGCAATAGATAGTAAGCCAGGGTGTATTATTTACTCACCATGTTATAGTCGCGTGGGGCTGGCAGATAACCAATTAAAAGATGATAACTGTTAACCTTTGTATTAATCTTAATAGTTAGAGATTAGGTGTTTTTGTAACTTTCAAAAATATCTCAGTAATTTCTTCTGAATTATAGATAGGCACTTGTTAGTCATGGTTAGTTCGCTTGTCAGATGCTACTGTGGAGTTCACCACGTATTAGTGGATTAATTTATTATATGTATATATTGATATATATAATGGATTAATTGATATATATAATGTATTTTTTAATTCAAATAAAAACTTTAATAAAATTAAAACTAACTATTACTAAATTAAATATATACAACTTAAGATTAAAATTAAATAAAAGAAAACCAAAAACAACTATTTACATAAAGCATCAAAAAATTCAAAATTCGTCCGCATCGACGTCAGTGGGGAAAGTACCCAGAAGGCTGGCAGCAGTGCCACGTTGTATGGCAATTCTTAACCTCTGACCGAGAAAAAGACCAGCCCTCTGGTCACGAGGTGTGTCGACCAGGCGTTTCGAAATGTTTTTGAATAATTTAAGCGCACTCGGACCCCACGGACCTAGCGTCTTAACCCTAAACGGCTCAAAGATATAACTACCAGCAACGTTGTTATACTTGCGCCGCTTGAGGTTTTCTGCAGAGGTAGCAGCCGAACCAGCACAACCCGCTGTTGAGAAGGTGCAAAGGTGTCGACGTAGGTTGCGTCCCACACCATAGATCTTCCCAGCTTCCAGGGCATGATGGACATACCGTCGGGTCTCCTACTATCGTCGCGTGCCAAACCCTTCGGTTCCTGAACAGCTGGCACACCGGCGATGACAAGAGCTCGACGGATAATGTCGTTAATTGTGTGTCGACCTATCCGTCGATAGGCCGTGGTGGCCGAGGTGGTCGACCATCTCACCGCATAGACAACGATGCGGAGTAACACAGGGTGCACCTAGACGCAAGCAAGCAGCAAGCCGAAAAGTTGAGTCATTCAACATCGTGCCAATATTGAGTGATGGAAGTGCATGAAGCCAGAGGCCTGATTCCCACTCACACACAGCCAATAGGCGAGCTAACTCGCCATGCCATGTTATGCCATGCCATGTTTTGCTATGCTATGCCATGCTATGCTATGCCGTGCCATGCTATGCCATGCTATAATATACCATGGT